TCAAGGATGTAGCATGAACAGAGAAATATTTGTCATACTGCTGTAATAAATGTGGTTATTTTTCTTTTTATTGTATTTCCTGCTAGTTTGAATTTGCCATTGCCATGCCTTCTTACGGTTCCAGGCAATAGACATGCACGATAAAGGTGGATAACAGCAACAATGACTGATTCCTGTGTTCTGTTTGTGCTGCTTACTCTGTTGACTATAACAACACTTCTCCAGCAAAGTGTAGGACCGAACCATCACTTTGATAAGTGGAGAAACATTAAATACATGTGCCAATACTGAATCCACCTATACGCCAGCTAAAAAGCTTTTTGCCATTAGCCTTATCTGTCATATCTTAGCCATATATTATGTTTACATCTCCCACTCTGTAGAATGAAAAAGTATCAGTGCATGTCACATCATCCACTACTGGCCTGCCATGTATGCTACAGCATTTGTAATCTTTTTAGTGGATCCATGTGCGCAGTAGTTGTTAACAAAATATTGTCGTCTGAACGTTGAACTTCATTGAAAATGAATGTTTCGTTCACATGTAAACGTGGCCTAAGTAAAGCAGACCATTGCTAGGGATGTTGCTCCAATCACAGCACTCACAGACTGCCATCTGAAGGTGGAATACTATATATATATTATAATAATACATCCCTGTTGTGCTTCGTGGCAATGTATAGCACACAAAGCCATAGCATGCTAATATGCTAACTTAGATGATGAACATGGTAATCATGTATCTTAGGGCCCATGTCCACTGATAGGTTTTGTTGTTTTGCGCTGGCCGTGCCAATTTTCAATTAAAACATTTAAAAAATGTCAATTAAAGTTCAACTTTAGGAACACTGTTGCGCTACGTTGTTTAAGTGGTCCAAGTTCTTTGAATTAAAGCAAATTTTAAGCATACAGAGCAAGTGAAAACAGCCCTAACGGTCACTACCCAATGGACATCAACTATGGTAACCTAGCAACAGTAAGCGCTGGTGAGAAGCGCTGTGAACATGACAAAACCATTCATTACTCCTGAAACAAGTTGTGTATATGAGAGTCGTTGCATAAAACAGATTGTAAATGACAGACTGGACAGATCTAATGGAGCTCAATACAGAGCGTGGCAGTTGATGATGGATCAGCTTTCACCCTCCTCCAAAACACTCTCTATATTATCATACACTCACTCACACTGGGAGGCCAGAGACAAAGCAAAGACTGTCCCACTGTTTTCACTCTCCCTACCCAATAATGTGTCACATTTTGTAACGGTTACAATGAAACCTAAAAAAAATACAACTGAATGCTTAGTATCACATAAAATAAAATGTATTTGGACTAAAGGGGAACCACACAAAGTAAAGTGCATTGACAATGACAGGTTTGAAAAGCTTTCTTAATTTTCTTCATTTGGGATATAAAAAACAACAACAAACCAAAAAAGAAAAACCTGCCAGTGAAAAGCTTTCGTGCTTTACTTTTCTTTTTTCATTTTTTACAGAGCGAGACATTCAAAATCACAGTAATTGGTTTGTTTTGGATCAACCTGACCGAATCCATGTTGACTTGCAAGCTGTTTGTTTTAAGCTAATTGGAAATGGTCTGCTTATCTCAAAACCATTTTAGTAAAGGAAAAGGAAAATAATATACCAAATTCAAGCAGCTGTAGGTAAATACTTACATTCAGTACCTACAGTACTTATAAAGCAACAGTCCTCATTTCTCTTCATTTGACATCTTATGGTCTTCTTAATAATTATCTACAACAGTTCAATTCCTCATTTAAATGCATGAAGTATATCAGAGAGGGCGGACCATGACCAGAAACACTTTTCAAAGTTCTTAACGTATGTTAGGAAAATTAGCTTATTTGAACTTCAGCATCTTTTTACATGACCACTTTTACTCAGTAGCAATTATTCAATCTAAAGCTAAGAAAGTAGAGGTAATGAAAGTTGAGCTGAGTTAAGTTAAGTCAAGATAAGTAGATCAATAAGTTAAGCCAAGTTAAGGTATGATAAGACTTTAAAGCTCCTTAAGAGGAATCAGGAGTTGTAGCCGCACAGAGACAGTGCCCTCACACAGCTCTGTGTCTTCATAACAACATTGATTGTTTCGCACACAGTCAAAGACGCATACTAACAGCCACCTGATCTGCTGTCTATTTGAATGGCTTTCCCTAAAGCCTGGTGTGCACGTCACTAGTCCAACCCAAGTCAGGCTATGCAGGGTATCAAGAAAAAAAACCTGACATATTTAATAACCGTCAAAGTGACCTTGAAGTCTGCTGAGTAATGACAAGTTCAATCTCAGGTGAAGTCACAACCTACTGCAGCTGAAGTAGGAAGCTAATGTAATGTAATTCTATGTCTTGCTGTGGGACAAAATGTGATGAGGTCACTCAGATAATTTTAGCTCAGCCCGTATTGAAAAGCACCAGCTTAAGAAAAAATATATACTCAGCTCACAACACAACCTCTGGCTGCATCTGTGCCCCTTTGGATATCCAGTGTTGGATCAGATGCAGAGTTATTAGTCATGGTCCTGTCCAATCACCCATCCTTAATTCTTGTGCTACTGGGCATTACTGTGGAGAGGACAGATTGTCTTTTATTGTCAGTTTGATTTCAAACTGGAGATTAGTCATATTCATGCTGCTGGTGGTGGCGCAAGCCTGTGTGTGTGTGTGCGTGTGTGTGACTCTAATATTTGCATTTGTGCCTCCAAACATCTGTGTGGCTAATTATTCGCTTTACCAAATGTTCTTCAGTAGCCATAGCTTCATAGATTAAAGGGAGTATTCATCCTAAATTAGTATTTTCACATATTGTAAGTATGTTAATAAGACCAACAGAGCAGAAAGACTGTAGTTGTGATGTCATCCATAGACTTAAACACTGTAGCTGCTCAGCAGACAGTAAATAATGCTGCAGTGTCACGGCATCATAGTCATTTTTTCTGAGATGTTAAGTATGTAGCATGTGCTGCTGTTGCACCGTTGTACATTATATACAGGAGGGCTCCTGTTATGTAACCAAAACACAGAAGCTGGGGTATGCAATAGTCTTTCACTGACAATGAATCAGTGGCCATCAAAACACTTCAATCATTTAGATGCCATTGTATAAAAATGTAGGTGTGGACATAGACAACCGTCATTACTGAACCACAGACATTGAAAACCTGTGAAATGGACGACACATACAACGGTACAAAGACAATTGAGGATGTATAGAGTGAGCACATCAGTCCTACTGATGTTATATGGCGAGGGAGCATCATCAGATATGATATTATAGCATGGGCTTTACAATGCAACTGAAAGGCCGGCTTGCTAGAATGCATAAAATAACCGTAAAGGTAATAGGGAAATAAAGAATGAGTCAATACAGTGCCTCTTCCTGCGAGCAGTCATAAAACAGGCAACAACAAAAAACCAAACTGAATAGTCCTGATATTACAGGTATAACACAATCCAGCAGCATCACAAACTACTTCCTCCAAAATTGTGATTCAACATAGATCTGAACATTATGATCAGAAGATCTTTTATAAGACTTCAAGATTGATTGGCCTATCAAAAGATATGGCAACAAAATATAAGCAAAAGTTGTTGAAAACCCTCTATACTGAACATTCAAGAGATACAAGGTTAAAAAAACCTGCTTTATTTTGAAAGTCAGGCCATTTTTTTAAGGTAAGCATTATATTTGACAATTCATTAGCGAGCCTATACCAACAGCTTAAACCAGTTCCTAGGAAGCATAAACGTAAGCGAGCTAATATCATTGCTATGAATTTATACCTTTTCTATGGTCAACTTTATTCATATGGCCATAGGGGGCTATAGCTGTACTGTATAAGAGTTATAAGAGTTATGTAATGTAGCTTGGAGTAAGGCCATAAAGAGCTTCAACAAGTTGTAGACGGCATTAATAGGGCCTGATTAATACCAAGTACAGTAAACTGCAGTAGTCAAGTCTGGAGGATAACAGGAAATGGAGGACTTTTTCTAAATCGATACATGATAGGAATGTTGAGATCTGAGCTATGGTCCCGAGGGTAAAGAAACTGGATTTGATGACTGTATAATTTGTTTGTCCAATTTTAGGTTATTGCCACTACTCCCAAGTTTTTTTTTTTTACATGAGGTCTTATGTTATCAGACAGATGAAGGTGATTCTGACCAGTAGTTACATATGAGGCCTATGTAACTATATTAAACCGTATTGTTAGGTAGGAAGTGGATTGATACCCACTTAAGTGGTTGTCGAACGTTAACTGCCAAAGATGTGTTATATTCCTACAGGCCTATAGCTACCAGTCTGATACACTATATCTACTTATTTTTAACTCACCACTGAAATTGAACTTACTGAATCAGGAAGCCAACATGATGGAGATTTGTCAAATTTCCAAAGCCAATAGGACTTCCAACCTGGCAGTGAGATATTTGAACAACTTTGCGCATCCTTAATTGGGATGCAACTTCAGAAAATGGCTGTTGCTTATGCTTATGTTAACTCATCTGAAGAAAACATCTCAAATAAAACTGCCTGAACTCCCAAAAGCAAATCAACTCACGGAGTTGTGAGCTGAACTTAAAGGCTAAAACAGAATTGATCAATTAGTCTTCTTTGCCAGATAATTTTAACCAAAAAAATGGCTTTTCTGCTCATTTCTGTTACAAAATTGTCCAGAAAAGCACATTTTGATAAGCCCATATGAGATAATGTGAGACAAAAAAAAAAACCATTTATTTGATTATGACACTGGGGCTATGGAAAGTGGGCTGATGAAAAGCCACATATGGAATTTCAAATAATTAGAGAAAATGATCAGTCACTTGTGAAAACAGTTAGCAGCAGCCTTAAACCACTAGAAGCCAAATGAGTTGTCTTGACTTTTTTTAATCGAAAGTGTTTCGCAGCGCTAACATTTTTTTTTTTTTTTGAATGAATGAATTTTCCCTTTAACGTCTCCCTCCTCTCTCCGCTTGAATCATCACACAGCGTCACTCCTCAATAAAACACACACTCTGTGCGCATAATGATTCATCAACCACCGTTTGCTCATGAGACCGTGATTTCGGCACCGATGAGTACATTTCTCGGAGCTGAGTGTTTCGTCGTGGGCCCTCGGATGCCCCCACCCCCACCAACACCAACACAAAGTCCCCCACCTCCCTCATCCCGCGTCTCGACAGACCAAACGCTGCTGCAGCGGCATCACCGGCAGCCTCCAAACTGCGTTTTCGCTGCCGTGATAGATCCGTGTGGACGCCGGTGAGCTGCTATCAAGTGTGTGGGGGGGAAAAAGGACGGACGAGCAAGGACTGCTTCGAGACTGTGTCAAACATCTAAAAGGGATAAAAAAAAAAAAAAAAAAACATTTAAGGCAATGTTGTAGGACCGTCTTGTTTACCTTCAGACAATCCGCCGGGTGACAGTGATATCACGGTCGACATGTAAGAGCTGGATAACTATTCCCGTGTGAACGACACCCATCCGCAGCTGATGACAATAACATGAAAAAGGTAAGCTTGTTGACACATTTGGGGGTTTTTTACATCGGGCGTTGCGGGTTTCATAAAACAAGACTCGATTTTACCTTCTCAGGCTCCATTGTTTCATCGTCAATACCTTCTGTTAAGTTCAAATTAACCATGTTTTTAAATGATGTCGCCGTTCACCTGTCGGCTCGTGAGCAGCTGTGTGGATGAAACGTCGATGTGACTGTGAAAAAAAAATATATCATGTCAACATGGTTTATTTCACGAATTGGACTGGAGCAGAGCTGCCTCCAGACTGCCTGAGCCAAAGTCAGTTTATGTAAAACTGAAACATTTTTTTTTTTTTTTTGCTTTCTGGAAGTGTTATCATGTTGAGTGCAAAATACGTAGGCTATGTGTAGGCTATATCCTGTGGTAGACAAAGTTATGAAACCTGCTGTGGAGAAAGGCAAGGGAGGGAATTGAATGAGCGTTTTAAGAGGGGGAAAAAAAAAACAGGTCTATTGACAACAATTAGGCGATTTTCTGTTGGCTTTTAACTCAGTGCAGATTTTTTGAATTAATCAGCACTAAATTACCATTTACTTGTGCTTGGTTACTTTTCTCCTTTCTGGCTTTTGATCAGTCCAAAAATCTCAAAACTAAAGCATCAGCTTACTCCTTCTATCTTCCCTTTGAAGTTTCGTCTCCCTTCACTGCTGGATTAGTGAGAAAATATTGCAGTTTTTGGGGGAGATGTAAAATGTGAGAAACATACTGTCCTCTGGAAGGAGTACGGGCACCGGCACCCTACTGGATTCTCATTTGGATCTGAACCAGCTGGGGGGGGGGGGGCTGATCGATTCCCGCTTTGTATCTGAGGCCTGTGTTCAGTTGTTGTTGTCCAACAGTAGTCCCTACAATTAAAAGCCCATTTTCGTTAGTGGAAGGCTGATTAATTATTCATCCCCTGCTCAATAGGACCACAAATCTGTGGCTGAAGGATGTCAGTGCAGCAGTCTATAAGCCTCTGCTTGGACAGCGGGGAAGGTTTGCACTGTATAGGCTGAATAGCAAACAACCCCCCCTTTTTTTTGTGAACCTCTACATGCTTTTTAAATGTGTGCTGGAAGTGTTTGCTCTCAAAATAAACAGCGGGAGAATAAAAGCGTACAAGCTGAGCAGTGAGTGGTACAGCAGAGTCCTGGAATAAGCTCTGGGTGTCCTGTATGAAACAGCTCTGTTGGTGGTGGACTGCAGGCTCTCACTATAGGTGTCAATGTCATATCTGCTGCCAGGAGGCCAACAGCCGCGATGATACTGTAGCAGAGAGTTTGAAGAAAACCCAGCTGGCTCGAGTCCAGGATTGTGGGTGTTTTTAAAAACTGGCTTAGTCAGGGCTACTGCAGGGAGTGATTAGACAAGATGCTGTTCAGTATCACACACATCAGCGTGACGTCAAAGGACACAGCTTTAAAAGTCTTTTTGCACCGAGGCCCTGTGGAGTACTGCAATAACTAAACCAAACATTGGTACTGAATACATGAAGTTGACATTTAGATCACTTTCATCAAGACTGTCTGCTTAAATGCTTGCCATTGCAGTTGGTGAATTTGTGTCCCAAAAAAAGTTATCAGAGGAAACATTTAACTTAGTACATTTACTCAAGAAGCATCTTAAAGGACATCACCTGAGTTCTTTAATTTTTATGTTGCTTCATACTTCTGCTCCTCTTTATTTCAGAGAGGAAAATACTCTACGTTAGCACTCAACAAGGATTCAAAGGTGGTACTTGACATTTACTTTTAGTAGCATAGCACAGTGGAGAAATACAATGACATACTACGCCCTATTCACTCAAAATTCATGAAAATGTTGGGACATTTTTAGGTTGGTCTGCATGTGAGAACACAAACAGCCATATCCCCACCTCTTCATCCGCCAGGAGTCTGTGTGAGCCAACACAGCAGGTAATATTCAGGAAAATGCACCAGAGCAAGTGGGAAGGGTTCATATCCTGCGACCCGCATGATCTCTAAGCACGTAATGAAACTACTTCATGTTTTCTGTGCAACCAGTCTGCTCCTTTGTTCTACTGTGAAAACGTCCAAATCATCATTGTCATCATTGCGTCAGTCTCTGTTGCTTATCCACCATCCTGGCGCATTCTTTTTTTTTTTTTTTACATCATGGCGCCCTCCCTCTCCCTTTTTGACAAGGGAACACTTTTTTAAGGAGCGGATTAATTTTTCCCCTCAAGGTTTAAGTTGAACCAAAGTATTTTCATCAAAAATCCTCCAAATGGGTGACTTTGGTTCAAGTTCGACCTGCGGCTCCTTTTCTGGATGTCATTCCCCACTCTCTCTCTCTCCACGATTTTTGACTCTATCCACTGTCTCATCAGATAGAGGCCCAAAATAAATCTTTAAAAAATATTTAAACATAAACTTGAAGTAACAAAACTAAAAGTGCTTGTTTTTTTTATTACTGGATTAAAGTTATTGATGGATTCATCTGTACATACCCAATGCAGCAGCCAATATGGCAGAGCTTCTGAAAAACACAGGAAACACCTCAGATATGATATGTGAAAGAAGAGTACAGAACATGTTAAAGGCTTTAGATGCGATTTTTTTGATCCAGCAGATGTCGCCCTTGAGCACCAGCATGAAACCTTGTGTTAGCATGCTAATGCTAGCAATCTTTATTATGCTCGTATCTTCACACTGCATGTAAATTTACCCGAAATGAGCGTGATCTAGAAACGCAGTTAAGCAGTGAGTACAGTATGTTATTCTTCTTTTCTCTAGTCCCTCAATTAAACAACTTTTATACACGAGGGGAGGAGTCAGCCGGCCGTCCCGGCGATGTAAACAAACTGAAGATATGACTCGGAAAACTCAGAAAACATTGTAGACTCGGGTGTTACACCCATTGTAGACAGTCATGACTCACAGAGTTATTTTCAGAGGATATACTTGATTTCCATTATATTTAAGTGTGAAAAATCACATATAAAGCCTTTAAAGGTAAGGAAGGACGCTTGTGAAATATTTCTTAAAATAAGATTAAATAAATCATAATCGTGTCAAATACACTGTTTACCCATCAGTGTATCTGGTTTCTGCCTGAGACGGGTCAAAAGCTGTTCCATTACAACTACCAGTGTATATTATTGACAAGTATGTCAGTCTATCATAATTTATTACACCCCAGTCAACAGGTTAATTATCCTGTGAGCATAACAAACAACAACAGTATGTAGTATAAGTAGAGAGTGTAATGTCAGTCATTTGTGTTTTTCTTTCTTAAAACTTCGGAGGGGTGCTCAGTTTAAGCTGTGGTCAAGTGTGGGTATTGAATCCATATCAGCAAGAAAGAAATAGCATTTGAACATCACTAGTCATTCACACAGTTCAGGTAGAATGCTATTTTTAACAATGATTGATTTCTTTTAAAATTCTGACTGAGAGAACACGTGCAGCAGAAATGATGTCCTGTGTGTTTAAAAACAGAAGGTGTGTACATGTACTAAGTTACTTGCCACCACCACATTAATTAACACAACTGCTGTATTTCCATTTTTTAATCCCTCCATTTAACATATAGAAACTGAACTTTATTGAAAGTTCTATTTATAGTACAGATTAAAATACCCGGCTGCACAGAATGAAGTAAGCGTTAGCTAATCTTAAAATGCACTTACATTGATTCATCAGTAAAAGTAATGTGTATCATAAACAGGGGCAATCTGTCAGCATAAGAAATGGAACACAGTTACAGGACGTATGAACAACAACACAGAACAATGGGAACAACTGAAGGTCAAAATCAATGCCTATAGGTTAACAAGCTTAAACAGTTACACTGTACTATCATTTTGAACCAAAAAAGGTACTGTACTACCACAGTGTATTTCTCTATATAACTCTATATTATGGCCTAAGCAGACATGCATCCATCCATTTTCTCGTATCCCAGAGTTGCTACAGCAGACATAGAAAAAAGTCTTGAATGACCTCATTAGTGTGTTCAGTGTCTTAGGCCCCGTGCCCACCTAGCGTTTTTTCTGGGCAGAAAAGCGCTGGCTGTGCGCTCGGTAGCACTTGCATGGAGCGTTAGTGCGCTGAGAAGAAAAGCACTGCACTTCCGTCCTGTCTCCATGACAACAGTCTGTTGACAGCGGCCACTGTATGACCAACACTGCTCCGTTACGTTTTACTGCATGTTTTTTATGTTAGATTGTTTATTTCCAGATCAAAATGTTTGCACTGGGCTTCTGTATTATACAATGTCACAGGGAGTTAAAATTTGGTTTCAAACTATTCAGTTGCATTTAATTGAAAATTAAGATCGCAAGATTTTGAATGCAGGAATTCCACATGATTGCGTTGCTGCTTTCACTTTCAGCGTGAGGAGACGTGATTCATTCTTCGGCCCTTCAGTATTCACTGTTTTCCCATCCTAAAAACAGAGCACGGGCGTTTAAATCGCGTGTGTCCAACCTTCTGTGTTGCAGCGTCAGCATTTTGAAGCCTTGTGAAGTATGACTGCGCATGCTGGGGCGCATTAGCCGTATCATGAGAAGGGAAAGAGCACGGATGTCACAAGGTATTTTCCTAATTGGCATTACAATGAACATGGACAACAGCAGTCTCTGGAGCTAACAGCCTCTTTCTCTGCTGCTCTCGGAGTCTCCCTTTCTGTTTTATTAACTCCCTTTCCTCTGCCAATTTCTGCACTATATCAGCCGTATGTGGTGGGTGTTAAGGTCAGCTGACAAACACAGCAAGGTAATTACAATATAGTGCATTCACCAGCCTCTCATGTCACTCATCAGGCTGTTATATTGAATGATGGATAACTGCGTCAGGATGGATTACCTCTGTTATTATGGCTACAGTAAATACAATACGCGTGTGTTTATTTCCCATTGGACTAAGTTTGACTTGGACAAAACAGTTTTAAATATAGCAGAGATATCATTTTGTTTTTTTTTCTCTCCATAGCAACAAAGCATTAGTGTAACTTCAGTTCAGGCAGAAAACAAAACGGCGCTCTGAACTCAGCCGTGTGTACGCTTCCTCCTTACGTGTGTTTATGCTCCATCTGATCGCCGATTGTCTCACTGCAGCCTCTCAGATTTCATGATAAGGAGGACTCGAATGGAGAGCAGAGCTGGTGTGGTTGCATATAAGAAGAGAGAGA